TTCAGAGATCTGGGAGGGATGAAATCTAAAATCCTGGGACCAGGTTTTGGGAATGGCCAGGAGATTGATTGCACAGGTGTGTGCAGGCCTTTTCATAGAGTCAGGACCAGGGTTCTGAGCTCCACCCCGGAAGATAGGAGTCAGGAGGGCTCCACCCCGGCAGATAGGAGTCAGGAGGGCTCCACCCCCGGCAGATAGGAGTCAGGAGGGCTCCACCCCGGCAGATAGGAGTCAGGAGGGCTCCACCCCGGGCAGATAGGAGTCAGGAGGGCTCCACCCCGGCAGATAGGAGTCAGGAGGGCTCCACCAAGGAGAGGTGGAAGCCAAAAGCGGCAAGGAGCTGCTTGGGAGTAGCTGTGTGCTAATGGCCAGCTGTGTGCGAGAGCCACATTTTTGAAAGCGTCTGCAGGAGACAGACGTAAGCCTGAAGAGGAAGGCCAGTGGAAATTTGTGTATATCTGAGAGAGCCAGGAGGCTGAATTTTGTTTATGTGGATGATAAATACCCCTGTGTGGGAAACTTCTGATGTTTTGAACTTTCATTTAAATAAAAGTGGACTAAAAAGGCCTTAAAAAAGAAAGCGAGTTGCTGTGTGCATTTAACCAAGCTCTACCATTTGAAGCGAGTTCCCACACTATCTACAACTTGTCTATGGCAAGTAACAAATGCGGCCACCTATGACCATTTATTACTTCTCTATGACAAGTAATAATACTGAACGATCTATGACTTTATACGGCTTATCTACGACAAGTAACAGATACGGAGTATAAATATCTAAAACTTATTCATGGCATGTAACAAATATGGCCTCCTATGACCATTTACGACTTATCTATGACAAGTAACAAATATGGACTATACATGACTATCTGCAACACATCTATGACAAGTAACACATGTGGACTATCCATGACTATCTACAACACATCTATGACAAGCAACACATGTGGACCATCTATGACTATCTACAACACATCTACGACAAGTAACACATGTGGATCATCTATGACTATCAATGACTATCTACGACTTATCTATGACAAGTAACAAATATGGACTATCCATGACTATCTACAACACATCTGACAAGTAACACGTGGCCTATCTATGACAAGTAACCGATCTGGAATATCTATGGACTATGACCATCTACGATGTCTTTGCAACAAGTAACAAAGATGGACTATCTATTGACTATCTACAATTCATCTATGACAAGTAACAAATAGATTGCCTATGACTATCTACAACATGTACAACAAGTAACAAACATGGACTATCTATGACATATCTACAACAAATAATAGATATGGACTTTTTATGGACTATCTATGACTTATCTGCAAATAGTTACAAATCTGTATGAAACTGGGACTTTTCGGGTACCGTAATTATTTACAATTAGGATGTAACTTTGTACTAAAAATATCTGTTTAGTTGTACATATTTATTTGAAAACTTAAGACTCCCACATAGTAAAAGCACAGGCTGGATAGTCCATAGTGATATGGTGCCATAGTACTGGTCCAGACACAGTAAAATATAAATGGATTGAGTGATGGTTATCTCTTGGCTTTGTTTCAGTTTTTAGTCGCTCACACGTTCCTCTCACTCCATCTCGGTAGAATTTCTTGTGTAGAGTTGCTGACTGTCGCTAGTCATATTCTGGAAATATCTGACAAGTGTCAAGATTGAGGATTTGGAGGGAGCCAGACTGTTCTAGAATCCAGAAATATGTTTTCCATCATAAAAAAATAAAACCCCAAATAGCTACCCAACACATTTCAGGAGTTGTCAAGTTCCCCTCCCCCCTTCCTAAGGCCTGAAAGTCATGACTGGGATGTCAAGGGCAGATTAGTAAAATCTGGGGTACAGTTATGTATGTATCAGAATCATCACTGAGTCATTGTCCATGCAAGTTTTTATGCATTTGTTTTCGTTGACTAATTTGAATCCATTATGAGGATTATACAGATTTCTTGGTTGAAGCATCTTAGAGGGACCCGTGTCGTCCTCTACAATGACAGGGTGGCTTCTCCTTGTGGAAACACACATTGGAAAGCCAGTGCCTGGAGCAATGTTTGGTATATCTGATCCCATCGTACCATCATCAGATCAGTGGAAGGTGAAGTTCCAGGAGCTTGGGCAATTTGGGAATTTAATATTTGAGCTCGCTATTCTTAGAAAAAAAATTGAATAAGGATGATAAGGATGGCTGCGTGCCCTAGAATGTGTCATGATGGATGCAGGTTGTAGTAGAAGTGTGATGTTAATGGATGGCACCCTCCCCGTGGCTTGTCTTGTCGTATTATACACACCTTGTCACCCTTTCTGCTTGCATTTCTGTACTGACAAATGTTGGAGCAATGCTGATGATGGCTCCCCCATAGGCCTAAATATACACAGCTGGTCTTTATTGGGGGGGGGGAGGGCTTTTTTTATTTTTTCCCCGTTGAAGATCATGTACCTGATGGGTTGATGGGCTCCACAGACTGACCCTAAGGTTGGGTTGAAGGGCTCCACAGACTGACCCTAAGGTTGGGTTGAAGGGCTCCACAGACTGGCCCTAAGGTTGGGTTGATGGGCTCCACAGACTGGCCCTAAGGTTGGGTTGAAGGGCTCCACAGACTGGCCCTAAGGTTGGGTTGAAGGGCTCCACAGACTGGCCCTAAGGTTGGGTTGAAGGGCTCCACAGACTGGCCCTAAGGTTGGGTTGATGGGCTCCACAGACTGGCCCTAAGGTTGGGTTGAAGGGCTCCACAGACTGGCCCTAAGGTTGGGTTGAAGGGCTCCACAGACTGGCCCTAAGGGCTTGGGTTGAAGGGCTCCACAGACTGGCCCTAAGGTTGGGTTGAAGGGCTCCACAGACTGGCCCTAAGGTTGGGTTGAAGGGCTCCACAGACTGGCCCTAAGGTTGGGTTGAAGGGCTCCACAGACTGGCTCTAAGGTTGGGTTGAAGGGCTCCGCAGACTGGCCCTAAGGTTGGGTTGAAGGGCTCCGCAGACTGGCCCGTAAGGTTGGGTTGAAGGGCTCCCGCAGACTGGCCCGTAAGGTTGGGTTGAAGGGCTTCCGCAGACTGGCCCGTAAGGTTGGGTTGAAGGGCTCCGCAGACTGGCCCGTAAGGTTGGGTTGAAGGGCTCCGCAGACTGGCCCGTAAGGTTGGGTTGAAGGGCTCCGCAGACTGGCCCGTAAGGTTGGGTTGAAGGGCTCCGCAGACTGGCCCGTAAGGTTGGGTTGAAGGGCTCCGCAGACTGGCCCGTAAGGTTGGGTTGAAGGGCTCCGCAGACTGGCCCGTAAGGTTGGGTTGAAGGGCTCCGCAGACTGGCCCGTAAGGTTGGGTTGAAGGGCTCCGCAGACTGGCCCGTAAGGTTGGGTTGAAGGGCTCCGCAGACTGGCCCGTAAGGTTGGGTTGAAGGGCTCCGCAGACTGGCCCGTAAGGTTGGGTTGAAGGGCTCCGCAGACTGGCCCGTAAGGTTGGGTTGAAGGGCTCCGCAGACTGGCCCGTAAGGTTGGGTTGAAGGGCTCCGCAGACTGGCCCGTAAGGTTGGGTTGAAGGGCTCCGCAGACTGGCCCCCGTAAGGTTGGGTTGAAGGGCTCCGCAGACTGGCCCGTAAGGTTGGGTTGAAGGGCTCCGCAGACTGGCCCGTAAGGTTGGGTTGAAGGGCTCCGCAGACTGGCCCGTAAGGTTGGGTTGAAGGGCTCCGCAGACTGGCCCGTAAGGTTGGGTTGAAGGGCTCCGCAGACTGGCCCGTAAGGTTGGGTTGAAGGGCTCCGCAGACTGGCCCGTAAGGTTGGGTTGAAGGGCTCCACAGACTGGCCCTAAGGTTGGGTTGATGGGCTCCACAGACTGGCCCGTAAGGTTGGGTTGATGGGCTGCTCCTGGATCCTGCATCTGTCTGTCCAGCTCTCCTTTAATGGTTGAGTATATTCTATTCTATGTTATTAATACATTAGAGACAGGACGAGCATTGGGCTTCACAGTTATTGCACATTAATATCCTTGCTGACAGTGTGAGTACATCATTGCAGCTATTTGACCTGACAAACGCTTTTCGAGGTGGATTTTATTGCTTTTCGGCTCCATAGATGCGAAGAAGTGTGACGCATATTTTTTTCGACAAGTGTATTTGGACTTATTTTTGGGGCAGAGGATCAGGCACACTTCCTGTTCGATGGGATATTCTGTCCATTTTAATGTTGAAATATTTAAAGATGGGAGAAGGAACGGCTTTATGGAGCAGTTTATGGAAACACAGATGAGGATGATGTGGAAGGAATACGTTGTACGGTTATGTAAAGTGATAATCTTACTGACTGTAATCCGTTACTTCTCAACGTCTTATTTTTGAAAGCGAAATTGATATTTTAAAAGGAAAAAAAAAAAGACAAAAATGTTTTCTTTCGGTGAAGCTGACAGGCAGCTGAGCTCAGTCTGAAGGGAAAAAAAATATTATAAAATCATTTAAAAGGTGAATTTCGAGGCAAATGTAAAAAGACTCGAATGAATGCAACTCTGTAACAAAGTAATATATTCTGGTTTAAAAAATTTGATGTATTCATAACTGAAATCCCTTCTATTGCTCTCAGCCTCCTCCAAATTTCCAAATTCCTTTGTTCCTGTGATCTGACTTCCTGTTAGAGGGTGGCTACATTCGTTCCCTATGGACCCAGAGTATGTAGTAGTGTAGCCACTCTCTCTTGCTCACTCCCGAGATGGACTATGGACCATAGACTATGGATTATATTTGGGGACTAAAAGATATTGTTTATTGTTACTTTAATACATCATTCAATGTTTTTTTTTTTTTTTTTTTTTTTTTTTTTTAATGCAAACAGCCTTTCTTAGGGCACATGTACACTGCAGCTGATAAACTGACGTTCAGGAGCTTTTCTGCATTTTTGTTTCAGCAGCCCCTGAACTCTCCCTAATGTTTTCCTATGTGTCCATGTACACACCTTTGTTTACAAGCATTTGAGTTTAGAGTCATTTTTTTAAAATGCAGAAAACTTGCGTTCAGCAGTCAATTTTTTTTATCAACATTTCAAACGCAAAATGCTTGTAAACGCAGGAAAACGCGCTGATAAGCATTTGCAAATTTTTTTTTTTTTTGACTCTTCCAGTTCCTGATGCTGTCCAGAGCCTTTTTTTCATTATGAAAAATGCATGCAAAGAGTTTTCAAGGTACTCAGATGGACAAAACACTGAACACAGGAATTTCCTATCAAGCTTGTCACACATTGTAATGACGAATTCACACCGCAGACCTCTCCTCCCTTGGAACCAAAAGATATGTTAATGACCGTTCACATCTCAGACCTCTCCCACCCCTTGGAAACAAAAGATATGTTAATGACCATTCACGCCTCAGACCTCTCCCACCCCTTGGAAACAAAAGATATGTTAATGACCATTCACACCTCAGACCTCTCCCGCCCTTGGAAACAAAAGATATGTTAATGACCATTCACACCTCAGACCTCCCCCACCCCTTGGAAACAAAAGATATGTTAATGACCATTCACACCTCAGACCTCCCCCACCCCTTGGAAACAAAAGATATGTTAATGACCATTCACACTTCAGACCTCCCCCACCCCTTGGAAACAAAAGATATGTTAATGACCATGCACACCTCAAATTCCTCAGGA